TAGAAAAGTTTTATTTTTCTAATTTATTTTAAAGGCAAAAATGCTACTTTCTGACAGTTCCTCTTTTGGTCATCTCAAAAGCTGGTAATATAGGACCGGGTTTGGTGGCTCACATCTATAATCCCAACTACTTAGGAGGTGGAATAGGAGATCACTGTTTCAGGCTTGGGCAAAAATGTTAGTGAGACCACAATCTAAAATAACAAGCCCAGCTAGCAGAGTGGCTCAAGTGGCAGAGCGCCTGCCTAACAAGCACGAGACCTTGAGTCCAAGCCTCAGCACTGCCAAAAAGAAAAAAAAAAAACAAAAAAAACGCACAAGCCCAGCAAGGGGGTTCATGCCTAAAATCCCAGAGTTTGAAAGGTGGAGGTAGCAGAATCAAGGCCCAAAGCTGACCCAGACAAAAATTTATCTGAAAAACAACTAAAAGCAAAAAGTGCTAGCTGGCAGAATAGCTCAAGTGGTAGAGCACCTGCCTTGCGAGCACGAGGTGCTGAGTTCAAACTCCCGGTACTATCAAAAAAAAAAAAAAAAAAAAAAACAACCCTGGTAATCTAATTTTCTCAATAAAATCTGTATATATGAGACGGATGTGGCCTGCTTTTTTGACCCCCCTGCCCCATACACCCTGGTTTGATTTTTGACAACACTGTGTTTTGAAAAGCTCTCCATCCATGCTTGGGAAAGTGAAAAGCTAAATTTCCTGCCAGCGATGCTGCTGAACTAAAGATCTCGTCTAGCTCCTCCATGTCCCTAGTCTTACTGTGCTCCTACCTTTTCTCACAACCTTCGAGGGTCCCACTGCCCACAGATTTCAAGTTCAAGACCAAATTTACCACACAGTTCTGCCTGCCATACTGTGGCCTCTTGCTTCCTAACCTTTTCTACATACTCCCCAGCATGCACACTTAATTCATGTTATCAGCCAGGTTAGGCTGATCCCAAACCAGCTTGTGCCGTCAGTCACACCAGGAAAGAAAGGTATTCCCACTCCAGAGCCCTGTGAGAGTCCTATGCACACCCACCAGCCCCAATGCTCCACCTTGGTGGGCCATGTGAACACTCTTGTGATCCCACTTTTGGCACCAACAGTTGGCACATAATCCCTGCTCCACTTCCTCTCTGATTTTTCCATAGCTCACTAGAAGTCCAAGGACACCAGGAAAGTCTAATACTGTTTTTGGATCCTATACAGACTTTTAAGCAAGTGAGCTGATTTCAAGGAGGCCCAGATTTTCAGATTCTTAGTGAGCATATTACTCAGAAGTCATTGCAGGTTGTTTTGTTTGTTTGTTTGTTTGATGGGAGTGGGGTTTGAACTCAGGGCTTCCAGTTTGCAAAGCAAGGAGCTCCACCATTTGAGCCACACCTCTAGTCCATTTTCCTCTCGCTATTTTGAATATGGGGTTTCATGAACTATTTGCCCAGCTGTCCTCAAACTGCAATCTTCCCTGTCTCAGCCTCCCAAGTAGCTAGGATTACAGACCTGGGTCACCTGCACCTGGCCACTGCAGGATTTTTAAACTAAGTATTTCTTAAATTGTTCCAGCTCGTATTGGGCTGAAATATAGACCCAAGTTTGTATGTTCCAGTGCTTCTTGTCTTTTAAAAAGATTAGTTTAAGAAAACAATAAAATGTTGTCTTCCTTTTCTATAAAAGAATTTTAACTCAACTTTACAAAACTCCTGTCCTAACCCTATTTCCACAACCACACCTTACACCAATGACAATTACAAGTGATTTTAACTTCTCAAATTTTGCTTCCCTCAGCAAAAGTTCACAAAAACAAAAAAGGTTCTCCTGCACAGCTGTGACTTCACCACTGTAAAGTTAAGAGCCCAGAGCAGACTGTGGAGAAAAGCAAAGTTCTTCCTTCCCCCAAGTCAGGAAACCGCTCTCCACTACCCTTTCCTGGCAACAGGAAGTTGATGTAAGGACAGGAAATAATCAGTGACTTTCTGATGTACAAAGAATAGGCTTCTCAAAGTTTTTTTTGCTTTTTTGGGGGGAGGGGGTTAAGGATTACACAAACTAGCTACAAAGGATAAAAAGAGAAGAGAATGACATTGAACAAAAAAAAGGTTCTGATGAACCCCAAAGACAGTCCATTTTTAAGACACTACTGGCTACTGAAGTCACAACAACCCCAATTACAGACCAGCAGCCTACTGTCCAACTCAAGTCATTCTTTATTCTGAAAATGCACATCAACTGCTAGTCTCGTGACATTAGCTCCTGAAAAGGTGCAACACAAAAAACAAAAAGATACTATTTCACAGTCACCTAGTCCACACTCAAAATGGGACAGATAGGTAAATGAATGCCAGAGCAAAATAATCCTAGGACGAAGCAAAGATACCTCCATCTCCACACCAAGACTTGCAAATAAACAGGGGGAAAAAAATCTCACAGACTGAGATTCAGAGCGCAATGAATGTTAAGGCACCATCCTTTCCCCCTCTCCTCATTTTATAGTCAGGGCTTAAAGAAGTAAAGCAATTGGCCAGGCACTTGTGGCTCATGTCTATAATCCTAGCTACTTTGGGAGGCTGAGATTGGGAGAACAGTGATTTGAGGCCAGCCTAGGCAAATACTTCATAAGATACCCATCTCTAAAATAACCAGAGCAAAAGGGACTGAGGTATGGCTCAAGTGGTAGAGCAACTACTTTGCAAGCAATAAGTCCTAAGTTCAAACCCCATCCCACAAAACAAACAACAACAACAAAAAAAACCAAGTAAAGCAATTGGTCCAAGGCCAGAAAGTTTGTCCCAAAACCTGGTCATTCGCCTCAGGGAAAGGAACAGTAGGTAATGCATCCTGTGGTTTAGTGAGTCATGTCAGGGTCGAGAAGAGACCACAGGAGATGGGAAAGTCAAGGATATGGATCCCACAGAAGCAGGGGTGGGGGAAGCAAGTCATCATGTTAAATATCAGTCTTTGTAGACTTTTTGAATAGGGAAAAAGGGGGCATTAAATATGCCAATACTGGACTGGAGGTGTGGTTCAAGTAAGAGAGCGCCTGCCAAGCAAGAGTGAAGTCTTGAGTTCAAATCCTAGCCCCATCAAAAAAAAAAAAAAAAAGATGCCAATCTTAAAATAACCAGACTTATTTGTCTCACTTTTCTTTCAGTCCCACTTAGTAAACACTGCATTTTACATTCTAGTAACTGTCACAACAAAATTAAAAAACTGAAACGGTGGACATAGTGTTACAATCTGTAATCCCAGCACTCAGGAGGTGGAGGCAGGAGGAGGGTGAGTTAGAGAACAGGCTGGGCCATGTAGTAAGACCCTGGCTTAAAAAGAAAAAAGAAAAAAAAGAAGCCTGAAACAGCACCAGCAGACCTGATATACATATTCTCCCAAAGAGCAAATGAAAACCCACATTTTGAAAATGCTGTCAGAGCCTTACTAGGAAGCAAATCCAACAATCCAGCACTCAATTTAACTTTCTCTTATCCATCTCCAATCCATTCCTCATCCTGCAACCAGGGTGGTCTCTTCAAATACTCAACTGATCATGCACTGTCCTGCTTAAAACTTTCCAATGGCTTTCCTCAAGGCCACACCAGATCAGAGACTAAAATGTCAGGCCCTGAGGCTGCTGCCCCAGTCCATCCCCACACCCTCCACTCTCACCCTGACCTCCTGGCCATCTACGTTTCTTGTGACCCCTTCATGCCTCCACTGACGCCACACTTTCCCACCAGAAGACTTGAGCTCTGCCATTCCCTAAGTCTGGAACACGCTAGCCTCCCTTCTACCATCCTGACTCCATCCCCTTAACCCTTATTTTAATTCAGATCTCAGCATAATTATTTCTGTCTTCTCGGGAATCCTTCCCTGGCCACTGTGACCCACCTCTGTGAATCAGGAAGCCTTCCTTACTATCACTACAAGCTTCAGTAACTATTCCTGTCATTCTGATTAATGTCTGCTTCCTGCAGTCAACCATGAGTCCTGTAAGAGCGGCAATCATATCTGGTTCTGCCTGTCACTGTACCTCCAGTACCTAGCAGGTAACTACTCATTGACTAGAAACACACGGATCTAATGAGCAGGCTTTTAGGAAGACCTAGAATACAAGCAAAGGGAAAAGTCTTAGCCACTCCCTTCTTAGTCACACTTAGTCACACAGCATAGTACTTTCATAACAGGAATGTTGAGGAAAAATAAACCTTTCATAAAGTGCCAAGGAAACAAAACAGACAGCTAGTAAATATACTAGTCTTTTAATTAACCAATCAGCTTTTAATAGCAGTGCTATGATTACAAGCATGCACAACCATGCCCAGCACACTGTGATAGCTAGCTCGCTTGCTCGCTCTCTTGCACACGCGTTCTTTCTCTCTTTCTCATATATATAGATATATATCGTATATGTGGTGTGTGTGTATATATATATACACACATATATATATATACACACACACCACATATAATTACCTTAGCAACAACCAGTCACTATTTCCTAAAAGAACAGCAACTACCACCACTACCAAAAAAGAGTTACATTTTCCTCTAAAAGTTGCTTTCCATGTTCTCTGTTACAGTAAATTCTGCTACCACTGCTATCCAATGGAAATACAATGCAAGTAGCAATTTTCTAGTAATCATATTAAAGTGGTAAGGAGACAAAATTAACTTCAGTAACATATTCTACTGAATATCAAATATCCAGTATATTATCATTTTAAAATGAAAGCAATATTTTAAAGACTTATTAATAAAACACATTTCCTTGTTTTTTGCACTGAATCATAGGATATCTCGATTCAAACTAGCTACATGTGGCCAGGGGCCACCATATTGGACACAGGAGTCAAGTATACCACCTATACTTCAATAAATTATGTACTCTCTTCCTTCAAACAACTTGCAGAAAAAGACTTTCATATTCCCTGTTTCAAACAAAGCAACATTGGGGGGTGGTTATATTCTCTACATACAACTGAAAAATGAAGGAGAAAGAATATATACATTACTGTGATGATACCTTCTTAACTCGTTCATGACTTTAAAAGCTTTCTTCATGTGCCAAGGATTCACTGTCACTGGGCAGTGTTTTTCAATGTTATCATCTTTTGAATCGACAGGCTTCTGATGACCCTGCTTTGTGCATCTGTACATAAAAGAAAAGAACAAAAACAGAGAAAGATCTTATTAAAGATAATTTAGTTCTGGCTTGTCAAGCTACAAGAGATAATATCTCCCTCCCCTGCTCATTTTGAGGAGGTCTGAAGGAGAGGCTATCCCTAGGTAAGATTAAGACACAATTCAGAACACTTTCTGATGGTCACTACGGTCTCAACAAAAAAGTGGGTAATTACCACCCTGGTGTCAAAGTTCTGTCAAAGATGAATGCAGAAAATTCAGTGGAAGTGGTTTAGCAGATAGCTCCAAATAAAAATGCCAGAAAATGATCTTCTCTGCTGGAAATAAACTTGCTTTTACAATCTCCTGTAGTCACGCACTTTTTACAAACCAAGACAGGATCAGGGTATTTTTCAAAAGCTGCTAAGAGAATCTAGTTTAAATTTTGCTCTCTACCTGAAAGGATACTCACCCCATGCATTTCAGATCTACAGTAGTAAGAGATTAATCATGTTAGCTAATGTTTATTGAGTATTTAACACATGGCAGCCACTGTGCATAATGATGTGCTCTCATCATTTATAATTCTCACAACAACTCTGTAAGCTAACTACCATTACTAGCCCCATTTAACAGACAATGAGAATGAGGCCAAAAAAAACCCCAGATTGGGGTAACTTGGTAATTGGTGGAGCTGGGTAAAAGCACACCCAATCTGATGTCAGTAATATCCATACCATTTCCTACATTAACGAAAGGACATTCAATTTCATATTTAATTTGTAATTTTTAAGAGTGTAAGGCTATGCCAGTATTGTTATAAGACCTGTGGGGGAAGGGAGGGCAAAAAATTGACAAAATTCAGATATGAGGCAAAGGCAGAGAATTAACAGCAAATCATGTACACAAGGGAAATTTTGGGGTTGTTTTTGTTTGTTTGTTTTGGCAGGACTGGAGTTAGAACTCAGAGCTTTGCACTTGCTACTTAAGACACTCCACCACCCTTTTCTGCATTGGGTATTTTTAGATAGGGCCTAGATTTTTGTTGTTCGGGCTATCTCAAACCACAATCCTCCTGATCTCTGCCTCCTGAGTAGCTAGGATTCAGGTGTAAGCCACTGGTGCTCAGCAGAATAATTCCTTTTTAAAAAATACTGGATTGTCATTAATTTGTTCAGCAATTTTTGTTAGTGCCATCCACATACCAAGCACTATTAAACAACTTGGAATACACAGATGAATAAAACCAAGATCCCTATCCTCACCAGGCAGTCCAGTTGGAGGGGAGGACAAGAAGTATGAGCAGTCAGTAAAGTAAATGGCAAGTTAGAAAACATTAGTTCTAGTGGTGGTTCACACCTGTAATCCCAGCTACTGAGGAGGCAGAGATCATGAGGATCACAGTTTGAGGCCGGCCCAAGCAGAAAGTTAGTGAGATCCCATCTCAATCAATAAGCCGAGTGTAGGCATATGACTTTTATCCCAGCTACATGGGATGCATAAGATGTCCAGCCTTCTCCTCCCCACCCCCGCATAAATGCAAGACCCTATTTGAAAAATAGTTAAATAGCTAAAGCAAACTGGGTTAGGGACATGGCTCAAGTGGTAGAGCAGCTGCCTACCAAGCACAAGGCCCTGAGTTCAAACCCCAGTACCGCCAAAAAGAAAATGTAAATTGTATGAGATAAAGAAGTAGGGTGAGGAGTAAGAAGTGTGGATGATGGTGTTGGAAGGGTATAATTCATACCATTAAACAGGGGTGATCAAAGAAGACAAAACTGAGCCTTGAGATCTACACAGGAGGAATGGCTAAAGCAAGGGTCCCTGTGTTCCAGGGACTGTGAGACCCATGTGCACGCAGAGGGCTGGGGCTGAGGGAGAGAGGTGGTACAGTCTGTGTAGGACACTGAAAGGATGTTGGCTTTTACCTTGAAGGGAATGGGGACTTGAATGGAACAGGGAGGAGGCACTGCAGAGGCGTGACACAATCCAACTTACCTTTTCAAAGGATCACTTTGGCTGCTGGTTGAGGACGCTCTATATGGGTCAAAGATGAAAGGGAGAAACTATTAGTAGGGTACTGCAAGTGATGCAGTGAGTTGACAGTGGCTCAGGGCAGGGAAGTAGCACTAGGTGATAAGAGTGGCTAAATTCTGGGTATTATCAAAAAGAGGCAACAAGATGTGTTGACAGAATGAATGTGGTATGTCAAAGAAAGTCAGAATTACTTTAATGTTTTTTGGCCTGAGCAAGAAGAAGAACTGAGGTCCCATTAACAGAAACGGGGAAGGCTCCAGGTGGAACCACTGAGGAGTGTAGGAAGATCCAGAGCTCAGTTTTTACATATGTTGGTTTAAGATAACAGACATTCAAGTGAATACATCGAACCATCAGATAAATACTGGAGTCTAGGGTTGAAGAGAAAAATCTAGCTGGAGATAAAAATTTGTGAATCACTGGGATGGTATTTAACGTCAATAAATTGAGGCATTCAGCATTAAGGTAACCTCTAAGCTGGGCACAGTGGCTCACACCTGTAATCCCAGGTACAAGAGAGGCATAGGTAGGAAGACATTGATCAAGACAGACCCCATCTGATATTAAAAAAAAAAAAAAAAAAAAAAAACTAAAGCAAGAAGGGCTGGAGGTGTGCTTCAAGTTGTAGAGTGCTTTTCTACCAAGGACAAGGCCTTGAGTTCAAAACCCAAGAACAAAAAAAAAAAAACAAGAAGAAGAATAATTTTATCTTTGCTTGTTTCTACCCTCGGAATTACCACCAGTTGAGGCCCCAATTCTTCTAGGACTTGCCTATTAGAAGCAGACATCAATTCTACCTTACCACCTCTTGAGGGGTTTTTAAAGAGCCTAACAGATGGAGAGCACAGGGCTCGGCCTCCAAGCGGGAGGGACAGGAGGTGCACTCTCACTCTGGCCTTCCTGTCCGTGTGTCTTCAGAAGGGAAGACGCTGGTGAACCCGGAAGTCAGAAAGCAAAACAATATTCACATCTGCAGGAGGGGAGTAGGGAAACACTTCATAAGACAGCTCATTCCCTTCGTAAAGAAAACAATAGGAAACCAAGGAAAGGTTTATGGAACCTAGGTAAACTTTCGGGCCACGTATCACTGAATGCCTACACATGAGGCAGTATTTACCTATATCTGCTCTAGTTTAATAACTTAAGAGATCGCAGCGGAGGGAGAATAATATACTGAGAACTAGCAAAACTATCACAGAAGAGTTTTCAAGGTTCACCGTAGAAGGAAAAGCAGCTCTGCCTTAAGAAGAATATTGTTATTCAAGAGTCCCTAAGTCCACATTTGCTTAAGAAGTTAGGAGCTAAAATTCTGGCGTCACAGAATTAACTCAGGCAGCTGCAGAGCAACAGCCAATGCCCACATCAGTGCTCTCTTAAAGCCATTCTCAGCTTCTGCTTCTTTGATGTACTCCACAAACTCTGCAAAGAAAAGACTTTATTCAAAGATTTTTAAAAGAATAAGTAAGAAGTAATACTGAATTTCCTAAGTGTTCCTTGTACTGAGAGCCACTTATAAACACAGCACCCCTGCCGCTCAGGGGTATTTTCAACACTAATGCCCTTTTCCCCTAATTTCCCACTTCCTATGTGGTTTTGTGTTGGGCAGTCTCTCATTCAGCCGCAGAAATGACTAACGGAAATGACGAATCGTGTCTAAAACTACAGTGGGAAGAGTGTGCACGTACTAGGAACTTGCAGGCCAGTGAGAGATACAAGTTCAGCCTTTGTGTTACAGCAGCAAGCCCAGAGTTGCACCCTTCCTCTCCTTCCCTTCTGAAGCAAACAGCCTTTCCCAATTCTGAAAAGTGCCTTCTTTAAAATACCAAAGGGAGATACTTTCTCAAGGTTGGTTCACCAGGGAAGCCTTTCCCCATCTGTACACTCCACGAAGGTCTTACTTGATAACAGGCAGCTCAATGGCCTACAGTCAGCCAAACACGCTCTAAAAAGAGTTGAAGTTTCCAAGGGTTTGAATTCCAGTGCACACTGAGCTTTATAAGAGATAATCAAAACGTCTTCCTTCAATGACTGACTTGCACAAATTCCCGGCTGTGGGCAAGGCTGTTTTCTCAGCTAAAATGACTATGTCACTCTGCCTAAGAACACACTAGTAACAATAACTAAATGCTCAGAGGAAGAAAATAAACACCTTAATAGAGTTGTTGCCCTCAAGCAGTCAAGATTTCATACCCAGGCAATCATTTTTGTAGGTATCTCTCATTTGTTCTAGAACAGTAACCCTCAGAAGAACCCAAGTAATTCACGCTATGTATCAATGCCCTCCTCACATGAAGTCAAACCAGCCCTTTTGCAGAACAAGGTATCTCAGAATGACGGCATCTCCAGGGGAGAGGTGAAAGCAGCCATGCACGATTTAAGACAACAAAAACAGATGATGTAATATGCCCCACCACCCACTTACCTCCCACCCTGGGGCAATCATCCCAGATTGAGAACAGTACTTTAGAAAATATGGGTTGTTTATGTTTTTAGTGTTTTCTGGTGGAAACAATGCTACAATTTATGGAAGATCCAGAGGCAAAATCTCACAGGGGACCAAAGCTATTTTCAAATTCAGCACATAAATACTTGGCCCCTCGGTGGCTACCGTCTCTCCTCTCCCCTCTGCCTGTGTTCACCTCAAAAGCTGCAAGACTCCCTGCTTGCAATGAGTCATCCACCATTACTCACAAATTTCTGCCAAGTTCACGTCAGCAGCTGTTGTTTTCAAAGTCACCATCCATGCTGTACTGCTTTGAAGTTTCCCATCACTTTACAATATTTCTCCTATTTTCTCTACTGTCTTCCCAAAGCAATTTGCATTTGGAAACTGGTTCTATAATTAATAATGCTCCCAAAGACAAGTCCAGAACATCCAAAGTAGAGATGTGACCATAACTAATATCTTAATTAGTATTTGTCATGTCATCCAACCACTTCCCAACAGAACACTCCCACATCCTTCACCCCAAGCAAATAACCACCATACTGCTAAGAGGCTGTGAAAGTAGAGAGTTTTCCCCCAAAGAACACACATTTTGGTTTGTGGTAGGCATGTGGTTTCAGTTTTTGCAATTACCTAAAAGCAAAAAGACACACTCTGAAATTTTTCAAGTACATGAAATTTATAACTTTTATTAGACACAGAGCCAGAAGAAAACTGTAATCTACAAATTTATGGTGATTACCAAGCAAATATGGCATTTTTTAAAATGTTAACATCTGCCACATATACAGAGAACTTGAACTAGGTTGGAGATGCAGCCCAGCCGCAGAGCACGTGCTTGGCATGGTAAGGCCCTGAGTTTGATTCCCAGCTCTTTGGACTGTATCTTCAATACACGGACACTAAGAACTGAACAGGAAGCATCATGTGAGATACGAACTTCCATCCTGTGTCAAGTCACAGAACACTCAAGGTAATAACGTAACAATGCCACTGAATACGTTACTTGTAGTATATATGTTTTTTAAATGTATATCTCTGATTTCGGTGGGGGGGGGAGGAAAGAAATCTAGAAAAACTAGAAATGATCAATTTTATTAAAATGGATTAGCAATTAAAAAAAAAGAAAAGGAACCAGAGCCCTGAGCCTCTGGAAGGCAGAGAGGAGGTATTAGCTTGCTTTTCTCCCTGGGGACTGACTGTATGGCTTTATGGTAAGAGTGTGGAGAAGCACTGGCAGGAGGAAGTAGCTGGGGCATCTGAGGTGGAGAGGTTGATGGAAGTTGAAATATAATTACTCTCTGACAGTAGAACAATAGAGCTGTAAAAGCTCTGCTTCAGTTCAGCTCAGCTCTCTCCCTCTTTCCCTCCCACCTACATGACAAACAGAGCACAATCAGGCACTTCTTGTCCCTGACAATGACTATTACCCGAAAAGGGACTAGGGTAAAAGCATATCTTATGCAAGATCAGTCTTGTAGAGACTGTTTTATAAACAATTAATGAAGCACTGTCAGAGTGGGATATCTGTGGGTTGCTGAAATAAGACAAGGAGGTTGATGACCCATTTCAAACACTCATATCTTTTTAGTTTTCTTTTGCCACTTCTAGTATTGTCATCACTTGGTTGGTGAGGAGGAATAGCAGTAAGATCCAGCAACTCAGCTGGCAGGTTCTATTTTCAAGCAAATGATTAAAAAGGCACTAGAAGCCAGGCACCAGTGGCTCACGCCTGTAACCCTAGCTACTCAGGAGGATCGCAGTTCAAAGCTAGCCCAAGCAAATAGTTCACAAGACCCTACCTTGAAAAAAACCAATTACAAAAAAAGAGTTGGTGGAGTAACTCAAGGTGTAGGCCCTGAGTTAAAACCCCAAAACCACAAAAAAAAAAAGAAATGAAAAGGCACTAGAAGATGACTGGAATCAGGAGAAAGACCTAAGTTGTAGTCCTGCGTTTAGCCAAATGCTAAGCAAGTGACCCTGGACTGGTCACTTAGCCTTGCTGCGCTGGGCTTCAGACTGTTTCACAAATATTCCTAATGTGAAATGTAACGTGAAACACACACTAGCCCCTCACCTACCCATCTCAGGAAGCTATACAAGCATTAAACACCACATGAATGCAAATACAAAGAAGAAAATATTGAGGTCAGGAGATAAACTGAATATGGAGATAGATTTTTATTGATTTTACTGGCCTTCGATTTTAATGCAATTTTCAATATGAAGTTATTAGCAATATGCAAAATGACCATAGCAGTTAATAAATCCAATATATAAGTGCTGCCTAGGCCAGGTGCCAGTGGCTCATGCCTGCAATCCTAGCTACTCAGGAGGCAGAGATCAAGAGGACCATGGTTCCAAGCAGAAAAATAAAAAGTGCTACCTCGATGCCGATTGCATACCTAATACCAAGCAGGATGAGGGGCGTAAGAGAGACCCACCCAGGATCTTCTCCAGTTTTCTATCTAACTTGGAAGACACAATGGAACACCAAGGAATGGCACAAGTCCGTACACAGATCCAAGGTTGAGGGCTACATACTATCAACTGG